TATTGAGAAATAATAAACTAGTTTTATTTAAGAAAGCACTTGTATCGCTGCAGTTTTTTCGAAAGAATTTCTACGGGAAATTAACAAACGACCAGAGACGTAACAATATAATACATTACTTCATGTTTCTCAAGCTTCTCGAACCCTGAAATAAAGAAAAGCCTGCCTATCTCTCTATATATAGTTAAACACAATATCACACCAGAAATTATTAAAATTAAACCAGGTATTAACATGTTCTTTCTTTGCGAGGAAACGATAAAATAAAAAAATATATAAATAAACCAGGTATGTTAACTTCCTTTTCTTATGAGGATATAATAAAACAAAAAATTAAGTTTGTGGTTCATTGGAAGTTGGAGAGCTTATAACACTGAAATTCGGGGCTCGATCTCCGCAGTGGGCACAACAAATAAACTAAACAATTAAACAAAACATTAGATATTTTCGTGTTCTTTTTTAATAATAAAGTTTTGTGCATATCCACCCTTAAAACTCACAACTTTATATTTTAATAATAAACTTTTATGCATAACCACCCTTAAAACTCACTACTTTATTTTAAGACCTAGCTAATATTATTCCTTCTATTTTTGAAATAGTTGATGCTCCGCTACCACCTCGATCATGGATGACATCACGTACAGCTTCCAGCAGAGAGGATATACCAAAATGTGAGTTGTTATAGGAAAGCATGCCGGTCAGGATCACTCGTTAATAAAATGTTAAAATGTCACAACATCGCGATAGCTTCATTGGTCTAAACCAATGATTATTTTAAAATAAATATTAGTTACATTTCTTGCATTTAAAAATAATCCGTTACACTTGGGTAATTTGAGGTTGAGGTAAATCGGATTACTTTACTGACGAAATTCATAATTATTTGGGTTTACAAACGTTTATACGAACATGCAAATTAATGGTGTTTTTCATAGTGTGCGTACTGTAATTATTGTAATGACTTTGTTAGGTACTTGGTGAAGTTTTTTGGTTTTTTTCGCGCAAACAACAACCTACCAATGCAGTTAGTCCCAAAATTAAATTTGAGTTACTTGAGGTTCAGCTAAGTTGGCTTACTGATGAAATTTGTAATTATTTGGGTGTGTTTTGCACCCATAAAAACATACACACCACAGACAGGATAATTAATAATTAATTTTGAGTTACTTGAGGTTCAGCTATGTTGGCTTACTGATGAATTTCGTAATTATTTGGGGGTGTTTTGCACCCATGAAAACATACACACACCACAGGATAATTACTTACGCTAGAAAGATTTCGTAAAATTAAAGGTACGATACATCCCCGTTTCATTTATTTATCAGCTGAAATTATTACAGGTGGTTTAGTTGTTGACACAAAATTTGAAATATTTATGAAGTTTTAATAAATGCGTATAAACACAAACTTTTTTTTCACATTCCCAATATTATTTCTTCTGACCGATTTCCGTTTTAAGAAGAAGCACAGAGACTTTCATAGAGAATTATCAACATTCTCAAAACTGCTTTTTAAACCCTGTATAAATTTGTGGACAATAATACGAGTACTTAACTAACTTTCGGTGTAGATTCAAGCCTAACAGAGTTCGTTGTAAATAACTAGTTAAGTTTGGAGTCCCCCTCCCCTTGATTCCTGAGCTTTCCAACTTGTTTCTAAGCCATTCACTACCGTTAAGGTCCACATATTGCATCATACCGTGTAATATTATATTTTTTGCATCTCACAATACTCAGTGTAAAGAACTGATAAAAAATTAGAAGATATCACTTTAAAAAGCACGAAGAACCAGGTAATTTCATTATTAGTAAAGTTATTTACTAACTATTCTGGTTGATAAAAGCATAGTAAATTGAACAATCAATAATAATAAGAGAAAAAAACACACACATTAGAATTGTCCCCAACGGTGTCCTTTATCAAGGGGAAT